TGCAAACATGAAAACTTAGTCGATCCGGTCGTCCAAGTTGCAACATTGTGCCCTGAAATATTCCAGAGTAGCACTGTGTAACGAGGCATACATAATTAAACATTTACCACGAAAAAAGTATCCCTAATAATCCGTAAAACATCGATATTATTCGCATTAGACGGGAAACAAAGCGCATATTCAATTTCCGCAAAGATCCACGAGCTACCCTTCTGGGTAAAAAAAAAACATTTATTTAACAGTTTGTTTATTATAAGCCTCTAAATAAAGGGATAGAAAATAAGACTCAAAAATGGGCTGGAGTTCTACTAGAAATAATGCAGCATTCTATTCATTAGGAAGACAATTACTTGATTATTCACGGAAGTTTGTATACGTATGTTTGATGTCGAGCTCCGTCAAAACGGTTGAAATACAGCGCGTCCATCAACTGGAACAGCTATATGTAAACAGTGACGTACTACAGCGTTGGTTTGTTCTTTGAGGCTAAAATGCAGCTTCCTTCTCAGATTTCAATTTACCTTTAAATTTCTTAGATGCTATAAGTAATAAGTAAATATATATATAAATATATAACACCATGCACTGTGGATGCAAAATCAATGATATTCATTTCCGCCTGGCACTAACCATGTATTCCTGAGCAATACGAAGCCATAGAAAAATCCCCAATGAAACCCCGGCATTCCTAAATAAGAGACTCTAATCTCAACGTTAAAAAGATTATATTTGTAGTGCCTGCAAATTTGTATATTAGATGAGACTAAAAAGTGTCTCAGTCTTGCCCTGCCTTGGTTTTGGTCTCGATACACTCTGGTCTTGGTAATGACTTGGTCTCAGTTTAGGTGGTTTTGCCTATCACTTATGTATGTATGTATAGATAAACATGCACAATCTTTACACCAATCGGCTTCCTGTCATCTGCACAGGCATTATTTTGCATCCAGCCCCTACATGCCATCCAACCCAGGGGAGCAGTACTTCATGTTCACCATCCTGGCGTCGTGGCTTATCAACCAAGCGGGCAGACCTTTCGAGCAGCCACAGGAATACGACGATCCCAATGCCACGGTGTCCAACATCCTGTCAGAGCTGCGGGCTTTCGTAAGTGGCGCTCAACACAACGATGATAACTTTGGCAATTAAATAAACATTTCGTAATGCTTTACATTAACTGCTCCTTCATAATGCCTTTATGATGCATTCATAGCACATCCATAGTCAGCATGTAAGTATACCTTAACATCCTAACATACCCTAACAGCTTTAATATACATTAATAACAAACATTGTAATAAGATAATTGTATAATGTTTGTTATTAATGTATATTGAAGCTGTTAAGGTATGTCAGGATCTTAAGGTATTCTTACATGCTTATTTTCAATGTTCTATGAATGCATTATGAAGGTGCACTGGATGTACTATGAATGCATTATGAATGTATTGTGAAGGTGCAGTTAATGTTCTCAAACATTCTGTATTGAAAGAGACGGTAGTGGCTTGAAAGTTATATAATTGGTGTTGATTATCTCCTGCGTCCAATTTGCATATATGCATAAAAATACAGTAATGTGCAAAATTCTTAGGCAGGCAAAAGAAATGTTTAAAGCTATTTATCTGGGTAGTAAATGCACATTTGCTCAGAACAAAAAAACAGAGTTTAACATTAGAATATATGCAAATTAGGAGAAACACTAAAGACTTTTGCACAATACTGTATGTTACTACTGTGTTAATGTTTAGAAATATGAGAATTATTCTTGAATGCCTAAGGGAACGTTTGTGGTGCTGTACTTGACAACTAGTAATGCTTCAGGACAGGGGTGTCAAACTGCAGTCCTGGGGGGCCGGAGCCCTGTGTAGCTTAATTCTTTCCCCCTTCCATCACAAATGACTCAGCTCAAGAGCTGTGTGGTAATTAGCACAAGGACCTGAATCAGGTGTGTTAAATGAGGGTGAACCAAAAACTGTGCAGGGCTCCGGCCCCCCAGGACTGGAGTCTGACACCCCTGCTTTACGAAGTTCACTAATGACTGAAAGGATACGGGTGGTAATTCCTGTTAGCGCTGGATTTACAAATTAAATTGTCAGCAGACGAAAGGGCGGGCTGGTTCGGATGAAAGCTCATTCTGTCGGTGCAGGGTGGGCAGGTCGACTTCCCCCCCTCCAGACTGAAGGCCGGCTCCGGGGAGCACGTCTGCTATGTGCTGGACCGTCTGGCTGAGGAGGCTTTGAAAAAGAAGGGCTTTGCGTGGAAGAAGTGAGTCTGCCTTGAGAATACACGCTCCCCCTACCCGCAGATACCGTATATTTCAGAAGTGATGGTAAATTTCTGTTTTCACTGCTGCTTCCAGAACTGAGCTACTTATCTTATTATGGGTCTGGGATTTGAAGAATCACATAAAAATATATGGGTTTCTAGTGCAACCTATAGAAGCCCCACCAACGTGTGGGGACACTAGGAATTTATTGGGTCTTGTTTCAGTTCTCCTGCTCTAATGCTTAGGTTAATTCCTGTCTCATCTTTACACAAATCCTCCACATGATCTTCTCCAGGCCAAAGTATCCAACAGAGGAACTGGAGGAGGAGTCTCTTGTGGAAGATGATGCAGAACTTACATTGAGCAAAGTGGAGGAAGACATGACTGTACGCTCTGCGTAAATATGTAGTGCGTTATTGCAACACACCTTGAAGAAATCTTGCATTGACATTCTTGTGCATAAGGTGTTCTGAGTTTCTTCAGTGCAGGACTTGCTGGTTGTGTTAGCAGTAGTTTGTGCTTCTAATAGTGCTTCAGAGCACTTTCTGTTTCTTCTGAATTTAAACATTTAAAATGTACCGTTTTCAAAATAGGAGGAACCCGATGACAATGAGGAAGAAAATCTCATTGATTTGGAAGCTCTGAAGGCAAGGACCAGTCAAAATGTAAGCCTGATTACATGGTTTAATCTTATTGGTTAATGATCATATCACATTCACACCCATGGGGCGTCTCCTTTGACACTTGGAGTCACAATCAAAGTTCAGGTGTTCAAACTAGAATAGTCACAGACCTTTTTCTTTCTTTTCCAGGAGGCCAATGGCTCTTCAAAGCCAGATGAGATTTTAGAGTCCAACACGGACGTGGCTGAGTGGAACCTGGAAGTTGAAAGAGTCCTTCCTCAGCTGAAAGTGACCGTCAGAGCCGACAACAAGGTGAGGATCCTTATTTTTAAGCAAACGTGCTCAAGAAATCCACTTACAAGTGCATTTAAGACATTAGTACTACACATTTGTTTCAAGTGCCATGAAAAACACTGGCATGTTTCTGTAAGTATAACACATAACAGAGTGAAGATTAATACGTTTTTTTGTTTTAAAAGTTCAATGCCGAGAGCTTAATATCCCTCATAATGTGGACTTCTGGCAAATTGTGAATGCCTTGAAAATGGTTTGCTGCCATTTACCTACGATTTTACATCAATATCATTACTGTTAGCCAGCTCTAGCTTGTCCATAGTGACAAGTGACAGCCAGTGGGTTGTCTGTGGTCACCTTTGCAGGACTGGAGGATACATGTCGACCAAATGCACCAGCACAAAGATGGCATCGAATCCTCGCTGAAGGAAGCCAAAGTAAGAGTCCAGTGTTACCGCAGTGTGACGCTAACCTGCGTCGCTACACAGCATCTGCAATATAAATAGGTGTGAGATGGATATGGCAGCACAGCTGTGCTTAATGTACACAGTAATACTCCGGAAGCTCCATGGAAATGAGGGCTTGATGTCTGCAAATAAGTATGTTTGTGCAATTAAATATACATATATGTGACGCTTGCTTAATTGTGTAAAAATGTTGCAAATTAATTTGTTTCATAACAAAAGTCCAGTGGCAAGCAATATTTAACATATCTGCACACACATTTTCTATTAAGTGTCATTTCTTTAACTGACTCATTCAGTTCTGCTCCATTTTGCCAGTAATTGAGATTGTAGTCACTGGCTACAGGATTTGTCCTGCCTTGTGTCCTGTGCTGGACTGGCATCCCATCCAGGGTGTCCCCTGCCTTGTGTCCTGTGCTGGACTGGCATCCCATCCAGGGTGTCCCCTGCCTTGTGTCCTGTGCTGGACTGGCATCCCATCCAGGGTGTCCCCTGCCTTGTGTCCTATGATGGACTGGCATC